CCGCAGAGCAGGGAGCCTGATGTGGGGCTCGATGCGGGGCTCGATGTGGGGCTTGATCCTAGGACCCTGGGATCATGACCTGAGCTGAAGGCAGACGCTTAACAACTGAGCCACCCAGGCTCCCCTGTAAACCTTTTTTTAAAAAGCAGTCAACCTCCTTTTCCAAGCAAACCCTTTTGTAGAACCTCACTATCTAAGACAGATAAAAGCAATATCTTACTAGAATACATTAATATTATAAGTTCAGTTACATGATATCTCAGTATTATGAAATTGTTCAATGTCAACAAGGCTGTTTTGATAAACTGCAAAATTTGATATGTAGGACATTTGATTTAATTAATTTTTTAACGTTATCTCTATACCTAATGTGCAGCTCGAACTCACGACCCTGAGATCAAGAGTCACACGCTCCACTGACTGAGTCACAGCCAGGCGTTCCTTGAGTATATATATTTTTAAACTACTGTTTTAGAATCAGATAAAATAGGGGCGCCTGGGTGGCTCAGTCACTAAGCGTCTGCCTTCGGCTCAGGTCATGATCTCAGGGTCCTGGGATAGAGCCCCGCATCGGGCTCCCTGCTCCGCGGGAAGCCTGCCTCTCCCTCTCCCACTCCCCCTGCTTGTGTTCCCTCTCTCGCTGTCTCTCTCTGTGTCAAATAAATAAAATCTAAAAAAAAAAAAAAGAATCAAATAAAATATATTCGAAGTTTCTGGGTAAAAATGGTAGATGAACACATGTATCTAATCTTGCTCTACTAAAAATACACTAAAACTACAGCAAAGGGATTTTTTAAGCCATAAATCTACAAAGACAGGGAAACAGGAGAGGAAAGAGGAGCAAAATACTTTAGGAAGTTGGGAAGCATATGGATGAATGGTTACTGACTTAGACTAGAGAAGGATGGGTCCTAAGGCAGCACTGGGGCAACCAGATGGCAAACAGAATTGGTTGCACCAGATGGCTGGCCACCCCAGAAGGAAGACCTAAAGATGTTAGCATCAGAGGCTCCCTCAAGCAAAGCTCTTGGCTGACAAGCCCCACCCATATACCTGAGCTCACAGAGCACAGATGCTTCCAGTTGGCTTTTTGGTAACCCATCCTTTAATGTGAGCAAACAACCAAGGATTATCACACCTCCAAGAAAAGAGTCTAACATGAAAGAGACCAAAACAACAGAAAAAGAAATTTAGAGGAAACAGATTATGCAGAAAGAAGAAAATTGAAACAAAATTAGCATTAGTAGCTTCAGAGATAAGATAAACCATTGCAACACTGAAACAAAATAAGATGCAATATATTAGAAAGGAATACTCGGAGAATAACAGTAAAATGAGTGTAATAAAAATCTTTACAGTATTGAAAAGCTCAGTAGAAGAACGGGAAGATAAGATTGAGGAACTCTCCCAGGAAACAAAGTAATAACGATGGAAAGTAGGAGAGAAAAATAAGAAATTGTTAGGAGCAGTCCATCAGATTCATCATCTGGATTTTAGGAGTCCCCCCCAAAAAAGAACGGGGAAAATGGAAGGGAAGAAATCACCAATGGGATGATATAAGATTATTTCCCAGAAGTGAGAGAGCACTGAGTGCCCAGCATAATAAATAGCCTCTCACCAAGACATACCACTGCCATCCTAGAACACTAGAGACAAGGAGAGGTTCAGAGATGGGGGAAAGTCACTTACAAAGGATAAGGACTTAAAAGGCTTCAGACTTCTCACGAGCAACAATGAAAGCTAGGAAGTAATGTCATAATGTCTTCATAATTCCAAAGAAATTCAATACCCAACCAACCAATCAAGTGTCGGCGTAGAATAATGGCAATGTCAAACATTCAAAGTTTCAAAACAATTTATCTCTCCCTTTCTCGAGAAGCTTCTGGAAGATGGTCTCCAAAAAGAGGGAGTAAATTAAACAAAAATGAAAAAGACATGGAACATGGCAAATAAAAGATCCAACAAAGGAGAGATCAAAGACAATACCAGGAAGATGAGAGAGGAGAGGCCAGGTTGCCAGGTCTGCAACAAGGGTCAGGGATAAACACTCGGATTGGAGCAGGTCAGAAGGCTCCAGCAGAGATCTCTTCAAGAAGATGAAGTTGATAAGAGTATCTGCTGTGTCTAGATATTCTGAGAAGAGATTCAGGCAAGTAGGGGAAGATTTTGAGGCAGATTTTGTGATAAATACATAGAAAACTAAACAAATGAAAAAACAAGGTAAGTATTAATTCCAGGAAAAATCAAAAGTTGTGCAGGAGAGGAAGAGTCATCAAAGGTTTCTACATGGCTCAACTCTGAGTAGCAGGTGTAGTCAGTGTTGTAAAAACTGAAAACTGAACTAACAAAAATTATCACATTAAATTTGGCAGATGAGAATGATGTGATCTCAGTGGGCTGGGGAGGAGACCTGAAGGAAAAAAGTTAAATCCTCCAACCTGCCCCTTTTATTTGTGGGAGCTGGGACAAGACTACAAATGGGAAACTTACTCAAATATTTTAATGTTACAAATTAAGCTAGCAAACTGTTAAATAAAATACCTTCTAAACTCCTAACTTTACCAATATACCTTTATAAGGACCTGGAAAGCCAGATTCTAAATTAGAATTTTTGGAATCCTCAGAATCCACAGTAGAAAATAGGAGCCCCCAGCCCCTGACTCTTGCTTCACCCCTTCTCCTCTGCCCTTGCCTCTGTCCTACATTGAGAGAGCTGCACACAGGGCCCTGTGAAGACCCCAGCTTGGTCTCTTGCCTCTTGCTGCCAATAACAGCCCCTTGGCTATCCGTCAGGCCTAGCTATGCCCCCAGGATCAGCAAGGTCTTCCTGGGGAAGAGAGATCCAAGGAGGCAAGCTGGGCAGGGAAATCCAGAGTCCCAGGTATTCAGAATATGGCCTATAAGGGGGTAAGTGGTCTTTGGATAGGCATATCCCCTTGGACTCCTTACCCTGTGGGGAGGGACGCAGCTGAAGAGGGCCAGGGTAATGAAGGTAAAGCGCCAAAAGAAACAACTTCAAAGAGCTGAAAATGGCTGCCTCCAGGGAGGGAGAGATGATGGAGGCAGGGCTCTGCTGTTTTTATTAACAAACCCTATACAATTATTTGATTCTTTAAAATAGGTGCCGGGGCGCCTGGGTGGCTCAGTTAGTTAAGCAACTGCCTTCGGCTCAGGTCATGATCCTGGAGTCCCTGGATCGAATCCTGCATCAGGCACCCTGCTCAGCAGGGAGTCTGCTTCTCCCTCTGACCCTCCTTCCTCTCATGCTCTCTATCATTCTTTCTCTCTCAATAAATAAATTAAAAAATCTTAAAAAAAAAAATAGGTGCCTACGTAGGCTAAGAAATACCTCACTTGGAAAAGAAAAATTAAAATTAAATGTGACTGGTAAAAGTTTATGGAACCTCTGACCACTTCTGCTAGAGCGCAGAGGTCTCAGTAACAAAGTCTGAAAACCACAGGACTAGGCCTTCATTTGAGGCTATCTAGATATTGTGAAGAAAACCACAATGAAGTTTCTCTCTACAATCGTCCCCAAGAATGAATCCCTCTTCTTTTCCTCCCATTTGTCCCCTTTAGGAGTTCTGCTTCCTGTTGGTTGTTGTCCAGAACCTCTCTCCCGGTAGCCTCTAAGCCCCTTGCAAGCAGGGACCCGGCTCACGGAGTTCTGAATCTCCAGCACCCAGCAAAGCACCGAGCACAGAGCACAGGCTCAACTAAGGGTTGATGAATAAAGAAAAAAGGAAGCATCTTTACCCAGGCTTTGGGGAGAAGGTGCTCGATCCCTTTCTGCACCCTGCACCCGTATAAGGAGCCCTGTCAGTTACTAGCCTTGGAACCTTCTGCATATTCATTAAATAATTTGGGGTTGTAATTCCCTCATCTGCACAACATAGTATTTAGCTCATATCTCTAACGCCTATAAATGATTGGCTCGCTTTCACCGCTCGGTGGAAGCCAAATCTTAAAAGAAGTAACTTCAGGCTCACCTAAGAAGCACGTACGCCTCCGAGGGCAGGGATTTCGGAGGATCTGTCTGCTTTTTTTTTTTCAACTGCCGTTTGCCCAGCGCCTGGAACAGTTCGAGGCACATAACAGATGTTCAACAAATACTTGTTTAATGAATGAATTTAAAAGTGCTAAAAAAATAACTATGCAACAAATAAAAAAAACTCTTTGTGAGGTGCAAAGATAGCCCTACATTCTGAATGAACACGTCGGTCCAGCCCCCGGTCCTGGCAGCGAGCGCCCGTGCGCGGCGGACGCGCCAGCCGAGCCGCGAAGGCCGGGAAGCGGCGGGCCCGGGTCTGGAGGCGGCCGGCGGGAAGGGCGGGAAGGCAGGAGAGTCGCCGACGCGCGCAGCAGGCCCGGGACGCGCGCTCGAGCCGCTTCGTGCAGCCCGGCTTCTGCGGCTCCCGCCGCCCGTCAGGAGCTCGGAGGCGTGCTCCGCCCCTCGGGGGCGGGCCCCGGACCTGGCGGCGCGGGGGCGGGGCCTGGCTGTCCGCGCCGGGGGCGGGGCCGGACCCGGGCGCTCCGGGCCGGTGTTGGGCCCGGCTGGTCCGCGGGCGCGACCGGAGCCCCGGCCACCAAGGGGTGCGACCCCCCACTGGCCCCGCCTTCCCGGCTGCGGCCCGGCCAATCAGAGCGGCTTTTACTGGCAGGTGGGCCGAGCCGGCCCAGCTGCTCGGAGGCTCTGGCATGGTAACGTCCCCGCGCGGGGGTGGAGGGGGGCCCGGGGCGGTCCCACAGCGCCCCCGGCGGCCCGGGCCGGGGCCGGGGGGGCGGGGAGGCCGCCGGGGGTACCCGGGACCCCGGGGGAGGGCGAGGGGCATGAGGGGTTAGGGAAGGGAGCCCGGGAGGGGGAGGGGAGCGGGGATTTGGGGGAGAAGGGGCGGGGAGGCCATGATGGAGGATGGCGGGGGTGGGGGCAGTGGGGGGCTGAGGGGAGCGAGAGTTGCGGGACTGGGTGAGGAGGGGGGAGGGAAGGGGAGAAGGGTGGGTTTGTGGAGAAAGGTCAGGAAAGGAGAGGGGGCGGGAATGTGGAAACCGAGGGACAAGGGGAGAGCTGGGGGCCAGTTTCCCCTTGTGGGGTATTTGGCGTGCAACACGCCCCTCCTCAGACCCAGTGCTTGTTTCCTTTGGAAGCCCTGGATACCCCGTAAGATCACTTGGAGATCCCCTCCTTCGTTTACCCTGCATTGTCTCCTGAGGTGAGGAGGGGGCATTGTCTCCTGAGGAAAGAGAGGCTGCGGCCCCCATCTAGTCCTGGATAGCCCAAGAAATGAGAAAGCAGGGGACCCTTGGTCCCAACCCTGGCTGTGCCATGAACAAACTGTGTTAACAAGTCTTTGTGACCTTGGGCAAGTCACTACCTTCCCTTGGGCCTCAGATTACCCATCGGTTTTAAAAAAAAAAAAAACACACGGAAAATGCATGAGAGTGATACCCCAGATCTTTTCCAGCTTCAAAATGGGGTGGTGGTTCTTGAGGAAAGAGTTCAGGAGAATGGGTTCTAGGATGTGGGGAAGCAAGGGAAAGCAGGCTGAAGATGGAGGCGAGGCCTTTAGCTGGGGCTGCAGAAAATCCCTAGGGATGTGGGGGATGGTAGGCACAAAGCCTGCAGGGCCGGAGCAGGCTAGCCAGCGCCTCTGGCATCCTACTGGAGGGATGGAAGAACTCTGGAAGTGGCGGAGGAGGTAGACACCTAACCCAAGACAATGAAGACCAGAATGAGGTCTTCATTCTGAGGATCTGGCAGGACAGAGAGAAGCAATGGAAGCTATTTTCTAGTAAGACAGCCAATATCTTTGGGGAGAAGGAGGAATATGCTAAGGCTGGTATAGAGGAGTGGGGACTAGGATGGTCTTGAAAACAGAGGGGCTAGCACAGTTTGGGGGCAGCTGAAGCAGGGCAGCAGGTAAAGGTTGACTGCAGGGTAATCCCCTGGTCTCTTGGCCTCCATGGTGTTTTTCCTTTCGATGATAGGTACTCTTTCTGAGAGGTGTGCCTTCCAGCTTTCATTTTCCAACACAAATCCCTTTAGGGAGTGAGTCAGACCAGACCATCCTTGAGATCACCTGGAGGATTTCAGGATTGTGTGTGGATTGGGGTGAAAAGGAAACAGGAAAATCAATTTGTAAGAAATAGTTGTGGCGCCATCATCCTTGCTGGGAGACCGCTTTGTGGAGTAGTTGAAAGCACAGGCTTTGGGGTCAGGCTGCGTGGATTCCAAACCTGCCTCTGCGGTTTAATCCTTTGGAACCTTGATCAAGTTATTTAATCTCTCTGAAGCTCAGTTTCTTTATAAAATGGGGACAATAATAGCCTTTTAGATGGTTACAAGGATTAAATGAGTGTTTGGCATGATATTTGGCCTGTAATAAGCACTCAGTAAATATTAGTTGTTAGCTATTCCCTCTTTCCATGCTCTTCCTTCCATCTCTCCATTCTTGTTCTTTTCCCCTTTTATTCTTTCTTCTGAATCTTTAGTTCTGAGATGCCGCTTAGATTAAAGGCTGAGAAGAATTGATTGCACCTTTGGGGAGGGGGGTTGTTGTTCCACTGGCTCAGGTGAGCACATGATGATAAGGTGATCAATTATCTCTTCGTCTCTCTCCAGCCCACAGATGTTTTTTGTTCCAGGGAAGACACAGGATCTGCTCTTTCAGCCCCTTTCCTATATCCCTCTGTCACACGAGTTCAGTCTCGCCCCAAGGTGCAATGAGACCCACAGTGGTCCAGGCACTGCAGCAAGTGAGATAGGGGCAGGGGTGTTTCAGGAAGAAAAGTATACACATTGCACAGGGGAAGCTCAGGGAAGGGAGGGCTGTGGAAGTTCCATGGTAATTTATGTTCATTCCGTTGCTCTGTCCTCTGTGGGAACTGTCCAAAATAGTCCAGCATCTGGGTTCTGGCCAGGGGTCTCCATTCCAAGTTAAAGATGGTCAGTGCTCGCTTCGGCGGCACATATGCCAAGTTAAAGATGCTCATATACAGTGAGTTTTTATTCAGGTTTTCCCGTGCCAGTATTTGATTCCAATTCCCTTTCCCCAGCCATACAGACAGCCTCTGCCAAGCTGTTCATCTCATTACAGGCCGCCTTTACCCAGAGAATTTATACAAATGTACCTGGGCACATGGGCGCACATGCACACATTTGCCTGTTTTAGGATATTCCAGTATGTAAAACTTGAATAAGGTTGAGCCTGCATTCTATCACAGCACTTTGTATGCAGGGCCCTGACTAGACACTCAAGAGGGGGTTTAAAAGGAGAAAACATAATCCTCCAGTATGGAGAAATCTCCCAAGTAGGGAGATAGGCAGTCCTGTGGGAAACACCCAGCAAACATCCACAGAGTAGCGTGTCCTTGGTGTCAAGTAGTGCAGCACTTATCCTGAGGGGACACGAGGAGGTAGGAGTATGTGTATGTGTGGAGGATAATCAGAAAGGTAATCTGAAGGGGGTGAATATTGGATCATCTTGAGCAAAGTGAGAGGCAAAGTAGAGTAAAAGGAACACATGGCGTATCCTAACAATTGCTGTGCAGGGAGGAGGAGGGAAGCCATTGAGTCGAGCTGAGCCAAGAACTGTAGATGGGTCATGTTGAAAGGCTTTGAATGTTAGGTGAGATTCTGTAGGGGGAGCGATAGGGAGCCACCACTAGTTCTCAGGGACGGGTTTGGATCCTTGCTGATTTAACCACATGGGTAGCCAGGAATATGCTAGAGTGAAAAAACAGACCTGCTTCCTGTGGCAAGGAGTGTGCTGAAAGGGGTAGGACTGGAGGGCAGATTGGATCCAGTCCTGGCTCTGTCCTGACCGCTGTGGAGCCTGGGACTGCTAATTCCCCTTAGTTTTCTCATCTGAGAAAGGAGACTACCTTGGGTGGTTGCCAGAGTCCCCTCCAGCTCTGACATTCTGTGTTCCCTGAATAACTAGTAGGCCTTACCAGTGGCTGTGTTTTGTGGGACCTGCCAAGACCATTCAGTCAACAAATACTAACACCTGTGTTCCAGTGGGGGGCAGCGAGGAAAATACAATAGGGATAAGAGATCAGGGTGAGCCCAAACAGGCAAAGTCCCCGCCCCTTTAAATTTAAGATCTCGTGGAGGCAGGGGCACCTGGGTGGCTCAGTCGTTAAGCTCTGCCTTCGGCTCAGGTCATGATCCCAGGGTCCTGGGATCAAGCCCTGCATCGTGCTCCCTGCTCGGTGGGGAAGCCTGCTTCTCCCTCTCCTACTCCCCCTGCTTGTGTTCCTTCTCTCGCTGTGTCTCTCTGTGTCAAATAAATAAATAAAATCTTTAAAAAAAAAAAAAAAGATCTAGTGGAGGCAGCAGATACTTCATTGATCCTAAGACTCCATTTAAACATTTCTTGTCAAGACATCTTAAAATCGATGGAGTATCATAATTTAAGTGGTGGCATTTGTTTTTTATTAGTGGCCACGTAACATAATGGGACAGTCAGCACTGTGTAAGTAAGTGTAAACTTCCAGTGGGTAATTGCTAACGGGGAGGGTGCGTGGGACACAAGCATGTAAAAGAGGGCTCTGACTAAGCCTAGACCACTGGCCTGGGAGGAAGCCTTTCCTGAGGAAGCGATGACTGGTAGGTGTAGACCTGTAGGCTAGGTGTGTGGGGTCGGCAGGAAGTTGTGCCAGGCAAAGATGCAGGCCTGATACGGGAGAACTGAGAAGGGGGCCGGAGCACAGACCCAGGAGCTCAGCACAGATGAGGCTGGGAAGGCAGTTGGGAAGCAAACCTCCCACAGCCTTCTAGGCCTTGGGGAGGAGTTTTGGTCTCTACCCTAAGAACAGTCGGAGCCATCGAAGAATTTTTTTTTTTTTTTTAGGATTTTAATTATTTGACAGAGAGATAGTACAAATAGGCAGAGCGGCAGGCAGAGGGAGAGGGAGAAGCAGGCTTCCCGCAGAGCAGGGAGCCTGATGTGGGGCTCGATCCCAGGACCCTGGGATCATGACCTGAGCTGAAGGCAGACACTTAATCGCTGAGCCACTCAGGCACCCCAGCCATTGAAGAATTTTAAGCAGGGAATAACATGATCTGAGGTGCATTTTGATGAGCTTGTTGTGGATGTGGGGAGACTACTACAGAAGGTCAGATGAAAACAAGAGGGGTGGTGGGGCGCCTGGGTGGCTCAGTTGGTTAAGCGACTGCCTTCGGCTCAGGTCATGATCCTGGAGTCCCGGGATCAAGTCCCGCATCGGGCTCCCTGCTCGGCGGGGAGTCTGCTTCTCCCTCTGACCCTCCCCCCTCTCATGCTCTCTGTCTCATTCTCTCTCTCAAATAAATAAATAAAATCTTTAAAAAAAAAAAAAAAGAAAAAAAACAAGAGGGGTGGTGGGGCGGAGGAGGAAATGGAGAGAAGTGGACGGATTCAAGAAATGAGTACGAGGTACAATTAGCAGGACTCAGTGACGTATCGACAGAGGAAGGTGTGGAGAACGACTCACCAGTTTCTATCTTAGACAACTGTATGGACGGTGGTGCCAATCTCAGAGGGGCAATTCTGGAGCCTGGGAGGACCCAAAGATGGTTATGTAGCATCTGGGAGGTCAGAGAGGATCCTAAGGCAGCTTGAGGTGGAAAAGTGTGGCACAGAGAATTGGATTTCCTCCCACATTGATTAATTTCTGACTTCCCATGCTAAGGACAGTCTTGGGCAGGAGCAGATCTGAATACAGGACCGGAGTAGTTGAACACTGAGAAAGCTGATTCAAGGTAGAATAGTGTGGCTTATACCCTTCTCTCCTTAGGACAAGATGGGTGGGAAAAGAGGAAGGACAGATACTATGAGAGGTGGAGATTAGAAAGCATCTTTAAAGCCGAGCCCTCTCAGCATAGGGGTCATTGGGGAAGTAAGGAGGTTGGGCAGCAGTGAGGTGGCCCCTCTTCAGCCAGCTACCACCTTTCCCTAGAACTCCTCCCTGACACCCTCTAACCCTCAAGCAAAAGGAGGAAGGGCAGGGCCTTTTAGCTGCATCTCCAAGCCTCAGTTCACTTGAAAAGCTTTTTTTAAATTTTGAATGGGTAATATGGTCAACATGGATGCATATTCAAAAGTTAGAAAAGGGCATACATACTGTGAGACACTTCCCTTCCCATCTCAGTCCTCCTTCTACTGATTTCTTTCTTGTATGTCGTCTTTTCTCTCCAGTTTTCTTACAAATGATCCCACTTTGCTGCACTTTGCATTTTTTTCCGCTTGTTAATGTATCTTAGAGATTGCTCCTATCAAGACAATGAACTTCTTCATTCTTTTTTTTATGACTGCATAGTATTCCATTTTATGTTTGTGTATAATTTCATAGTTACTTAGTGATGGGTATTTAGGCTGATTCCAGTCTTCTGTTTTTACAAATAATGCTGGAATGGAAATGTTGTATACACATCATTTTGGCCATATCTATAGGATGACTTTTTAGAATTGGGAGTGTTTGATCCTTCATTTGTCCCTTCTTGCATTCGTTCAATATTTATTGAGTACCCATTATGTGCCAGACACTGTGGCAGTTACCAGGAGTCCAGCTTTCAACAAGTCTGACACATCCCTGTCCTCATGGAATGTTATTACACGTTAGTAAGGGGAAACGTAATAATTACAAAACTGTATACAGCAGGAAGCTAAGAAGGGCATCAGATAGAGAATAAATTCAACAGTCAGGAAGGCTCTTGGGGGCAAGTGGTATTTAAGCCAACAACTGCGGGATGGGATGTGGCAGCTAGTAGGTGTAGGACAGGGAGATCTAGGTTGTTCAAAGTCTCAGCCACAGGGAGGGGAGTTCGGGATCCGTAGGGGCAGGGGAGTAGAGCTGTAGAGGAGGGGGTGATTGGGAGTGGGAGGTGTCAAAGAGTGAGCGAGGGAGTAAGGATGAGACCAGTTTTGGGGGGCCCACACTGAAGAGAGGGAGACTAGCGCTTAAGAAGGCATGGTGACTGGGTTTAGAGGGCTTTGGGGTTGAATCTAATGGTGAATTCAGGTAAGGGGATGGGAAAAGAGGTCACTTCCTCCCTGGCTACTTTGGGAATGAGAGACCCCTGTTTAAGGCTTGAGGGAGGCACGGCCTTGCCCACAAATGGGAGAATGGATGAAAAGCCTCGGGAAGAGCCAGACTGGGCCTGTAGGACAGCCGCCTCCCTCTTTTCTGTGGCTCTGGTGCGATAAAGATGACCTGGAAGGGGCCTGGCCCGCTGGTTCTTGGCTGGTGGAAGAGAGCAGACCTAGCCAGGGCTCGGAGCTGGGCATGGGCAGGAAACCGGGCCAGGAGACCCTCCCTCTGAACTTTGTGCTCCTTTTTCATCCTCACCGCTCTGCTTCCCTTCTGCAAAAGCCCATCTCTTTGCCCATCCTGGGTCCTATGACTTTTCTCTCCCTCAACAGTCGGTTCCCGATTCTGGTCCCCGGCCCCCAGCAGCGCCTGCCCCCTTCCCACCGGGGCCCCCCATGATGCCACCACCCTTCGTAAGTTTTATGTCTTTCCCTGGGCTTGGCTTTTCCAGCCTGCACCCCCATCTCCCTGGTCCCTAGCACCGCTGCATCGCCAGCACGGTTTTGTGTCCTGCCTCCTCTGGAAAAGGGGTGGTGTTGCTTGGGCATTGGGGTGGGAGGAGCTGCTGTTAAGCTCCCAGTCCCTAAAGTTGACAGCTCCCCTTTGTCTTTTTGTCCTTGGGACACACTGGGGCTGGGGTAGGAGAAGTGGAAGGGAAAAGACCCTGTTAGTGTGAGGGCATGGTGGGGCTGCCTTTCTCTTTCACTACTCCTTCTCTGTTCTTTCAATATGCCACAGAAGTCAGGCTGAAGTAGCAGCTGGTGGTCATCGAGCTGGAGAACAAGGGATGGGAGGCAGGGGACTGGGGCATTTGGGAACCTGGAATCCTGCCTTCTGGCCCTGTCTCAGAGAGGCCTCTTTGGGGAGAGTTGCTGAAGAGATGGAGCCTTCCAGCCACAGTCTGGTGGCAGTTAGACTTTTCCCTCTCCCTTCCCTACCTCTGAAGAAACTGTGTGCTTGCCTGTTAGACCCAGAAGACACCCCCCCTTCCCCCCCCCCCCCCCAGTTTTCAGTCTTTCGGTGGTGAGGAGCAGGCAGTTTCACGCTTCGTGCTTCTCAAACTAAAGCCTTGGAATTGCCTCAGAGCCGGGGTGGAGGGTCGAGAAGGGTGGGAGACAAGTGGATATTCCCCGACAGGTCCAAGGCGGGGTCTTCTCTGCTCAGTGTCCCTTCCTTTCCTCACTTCCAGATGCCCCCTCCAGGAATCCCCCCGCCCTTTCCTCCGATGGGACTACCCCCCATGAGTCAGAGACCACCGGCCATCCCCCCGATGCCACCTGGCATCATGCCCCCAATGCTGCCACCAATGGGGGCGCCACCACCACTCACGCAGGTAACCCTGTCTCCTGCACCAGCGCCTCAGGAAACCCCGGGAGCCTGGCTGGGGGTGGAGGTGAGAGTGGGCGTCTGGAGCTCAGGCAGTAGAGAGAGAAGGGAGGGAGCTTTGGCTCGGCCCGCGTGGCTTTGTCTGCCGAATGACAGGAGAAAACTGGCTGGCTGGGCTGAGAGCCCAGGACCTGGGGATTGTCTGAGGGGGGACCGGTGTGAAGGCCACGGCCCCGGCCAGGAGCTCTCAGGAGCCTGCCTTGCCTGTGCCTGCCCTCACCTCCGTAGTTGTGTCTTGTCTCCTTTGTGTCCCCAGATACCGGGAATGGTACCACCCATGCTGCCAGGGATGTTAATGCCAGCAGTGCCTGTCACCGCCGCGGTAAGCACTGGGGGCTGGCAGGAAGCAGCCGTGCCCTGCAGCCCTGTGGGTCCGACTCGGAGCCCAGGGATCCGGCTTCCGCTCTTTCCCTCTTCTCATCCATCCGTCCCGGGCCTGGCCGCACTCCCCACACTCACGTCCTCCTCTCCGGCCACGTACTCTGCTCTTTTCGTTTCTCACTCCCCCCAAAGGCATGTTACTCTCTCGTTACTCCTTGCTGTGCCCAGCTCCCATAAGGAACACACTCGTGGCTGACACGCTTCCCCTCACAGAGCTCGCACTGTGGACACTTGAATACAGGCCCTCCTCACATCTTCTTTGTTGCTGGCGGAAGCAGCAGCACCTGGGGATCTCACCGTACCTTCTTGTGCCATTGCTCAGTGTAGTAGAGTCTGGGTAGGACGTAGCAGTTGGCATCCGCTCTGGAAGAGGGGCCTCGGAGGTTGACTCAACAAAATACTCTCACTTGAGGAAAACAAAGAACAGAGCTGCTATGCGGTTCCCCCTAGGATCCTACAGCCACGGCCCCAGAGGGTGGGGGATGCCTGTTAGGGAGCAGAGGTCCCTGGGAGCAGGACACATGGATCCTGGCCTGGCCTGCTTCTTCATCCCCCATGGCCTGGGTCCTGGGGGCCACTGGGCTTGGCCCCAACCCTTCCCCCTCCTCTTTCTTCGGCAGACGGCTCCGGGTGCGGACACAGCCAGCTGTGAGTCTTCTGGGGGTCTGCTCCCCCCAGGCTCGGAGGTTGGGGGGGTATAGGGGAGAGGGGACCGTGGACTAGAGCCCACCCTGGATCATGCCTGTTGGGATGCCAGGGAGCCTGGGATGTTGATGGGACCAGGGGATATTTATTGGGGATGGAGTAGGGGAGGAATAGGTGGGATAAAATGGGTGTCGGGGCAAGGACTTAATATTTCTCTTGGCTTCTTTTCTAGCTGCTGTGGCTGGGACAGGCCCTCCGGTGAGTTCTTCCAGCTCAGGGGTCTCTGGGTAGAAAAGCTGAAAGTTGGGGGGCTGATGGTTAAATCTTTGGGGTAAGGAGGAGAAGCTTTGGGGATGGGGCCTTGACCACCATCCTCTGCTCCCCCTCCCCCCAGAGGGCCCTGTGGAGTGAGCATGTGGCCCCTGATGGGCGCATCTACTACTACAATGCTGATGACAAGCAATCCGTGTGGGAGAAGCCCAGCGTGCTCAAGTCCAAGGCAGAGGTCCTGAGCAGGGCTTTCTGGCCCTTCCTTTCAGCTTCCCTGACCCTCCCAAGTCCTTGGCCTCCCGAGTCTTTAACCATACACACGGTTCCTCTGATCCCAAGATCCCTGACCATTCCACCAGCCTTCCTGGGATCTCAGGAAGTCTGCCTTCCCCCATGTTGAGCCAGGCCAGGTGGTAGCTAAAAACTCCCTACTCGCTGGGTCCCCTTAGCTCCCCCGACTGTAGCGAGAGGGCATGCCCAGCCCTCTGATGTCCTCTGACCTGTCCTCTTGTAGTTGCTGCTGTCCCAGTGTCCCTGGAAAGAGTACAAGTCAGACACGGGCAAACCTTACTACTATAACAACCAGAGTAAGGAGTCTCGCTGGACCCGGCCCAAGGACCTGGATGACCTGGAGGGTGAGGAGGGGGTGAGCCTGGGCTGTGGTGCTGGGGGGTGGCCCTTGCCACCCTGTGACCATGTCATGTTTTCCCCTTGCAGCTCTAGTCAAACAAGAGGCTGCAGGGTGAGTGACTTGCGCACCTACCCCCCTGTACTTGGGGCCGCCAGACGGGTGGGAGTGGACCCTCTCTCTGTGGTCCCTGCTCTGTGGAAGAGCCAGCTCTCAGTCTCGTTGCGGAGTGGCCCGCTTGGGCCCCAGTCCTTCGCAGGCCCCTGACTGGCCCTCTCTCTGCCGCACGCCTGGACCCCGCCCGGACCCTGCCCTCCTGGCCCGCCTGCAGGAAGCAGCCCCAGCCTCAGATACTGCAGCCGCAGCCACCTCAGCCCCAGCCTGAGCCCCCGCCCGGGCCGCCTGGCCCCACCCCCATGCCCCTGGGCCTTCTAGAGCCTGAGCCAGGTGGGAGTGAAGATTGTGATACGTCCGAGGCTGCCCAGCCTGTGGAGCAGGGCTTTCTGCAGCAGCCGGAGGAGGGCCCCAGCAGGTGAGGGCTGCCCCCCTGAGGCATTCCCGAGGCTGGCTCTAAGCTCGCAGCCTAGTTCAACCCTTGACGTCTGCCAGGCCTCTTGGGAAGGGTGTGGAGATCTGGGCATGGCCTCTGCAGGGCAGAGAAGGGCTGCTTTGGGGGGCGAGGAGAGGGTGGCGTAGTCCCGGCCACATAGGGCACTGAAGGCTGTGGGGCCTGGGAGATGCTGTGGCTGAGTCCCCTTTGCCCCCCAGCGCTGCTGCACAGCGTCAGCCACCACAGCAGGAGGAAGAGGAATCAAAGCCAGAACCAGAGAGGTCTGGCCTCAGTTGGAGCAACCGGGAGAAGGCAAAGCAGGCCTTCAAGGAGCTGCTGAGGGACAAGGTGCAGGGGTGGGGTGCCCAGGGTAGGCCCGGAGGGGGCTGGAGGAGGGCAGGCCCCATGACCCCTGCCTGCTCCATTCTAGGCTGTCCCCTCCAATGCCTCGTGGGAACAGGCCATGAAGATGGTGGTCACCGACCCCCGTTACAGGTAGGCCTGGGCAGAGGGAGCCAGGCCCTCCAGACTGTGTTTGTGAGCAGCTGGGCCAGGGCCTCCCTGAGAAGCCCCAGCTCAACACTCAGGCCCCAACAGGGCCCGAGTCAGGAGAATGGTAGAAGGGCGAGGGAAAGAGAAGCTGGAGGGCCTCCAGGAGGAGGAGGGGAAAGGTATCTGACATGAGACATTCAATAAATGCTTGTTGAATTGAATTGATTCGAATTGAGTTAATTGGGGTGAGGGGGCTGGATAGGGTGGAGGCCTGAATGCACTTTGAGAGCCTCAGAGCAAAAGGGCTGTTAGTGTCTCGGAGCCCCGTCTTCCCCTCACTGCCTCCCGTCCCTCCCCTCATCCCAGAGACCCCTCTTGCCTCCCTGCAGCCTGCTGTGCCCATGCATGGACCCCTCACTCAGTTCTGTGTGCTGTGACCCTGCTTGGTGGGCTGTGCAGGGTGACTCCTCTATTCCCACCCCACTGCCACCCTCTCCACCCCAGTGCCTTACCCAAACTGAGTGAGAAAAAGCAGGCATTCAATGCCTACAAGGCGCAGCGGGAGAAGGAGGAGAAGGAAGAGGCCCGGCTAAGGGCCAAGGAGGCCAAGCAGACCTTGCAGCATTTCCTGGAGCAGCACGAACGCATGACCTCTACCACCCGCTACCGGTCAGGGGGCCAGGCTGGGGTGGACTCTGGGAACCCTGAGAACACACGGGCCCAGGGTCTCTGTCCCCTGCCTGCCTACCCACGGCCCATATGCTCCACAGGCGGGCAGAACAGACATTTGGGGAGCTGGAGGTGTGGGCTGTGGTCCCTGAGAGGGATCGAAAAGAGGTTTATGATGATGTCCTCTTCTTCCTGGCCAAGAAGGAGAAGGTAACAGTCACTGGCTGGATCCGTCAGCCTGTCTTACTTGAGGCTTTTCGTGTCTTTGCGTCCTTGTGGACCCCGGCCATTCATTTCTCCACTGCCCCAGGGTCTCAGCTCCTTCCTCGGAAGCTGGTGTGGCACTTGCACATCCCCCCACTTCTGCTTGGGACCTACAACATGGGTGTGGGAGGGCAGGAGGGCATCTGTGAGGGGTTGATCTGTAACCTGTGCTCCTTCCCCTTTCCGGGGATGTGGAAGTCTTGAGTCTGGCCCTCCTAGGGTTCCCTAGCTCCTTTGCTCAAATGCTCCTCTGCCTAGGCCCACTTGAGTAGCTCCGACCTGCCCTACCTCACCCTGACCCTGACACTGTGGCTCCCCAGGAACAGGCCAAGCAGCTCCGGCGCCGCAACATCCAGGCCCTGAAGAGCATCCTGGATGGGATGAGTAGTGTCAACTTCCAAACTACATGGTCCCAGGCTCAGCAGTACCTCATGGATAACCCCAGCTTTGCTCAGGACCACCAGCTGCAGAGTAAGCTTGGGTCTCCGCTCCTGCCTGTCCCTTCCCCTTTTCCTCACTGACCTGGGACCCCAGAGCCTGCCTCCCAGTGGTCTCCCGCACTTCCTGCCCTCCTGGATGTCCAGGGGTCCTCAGCATTCGCCCTGTCCCTGCATCTCTCCAGAGTCTGGAGATGCTGGAATGCTGGGACACCCCCTCCCTCCCTCTGGGGTCTGCTGTCGACCTGGACATTGTCTGTCCTTGGAGGAAGAGCTCTAGGATAGGCGTCAGAAGACCGGGAGAGGATGGTTTGTCCAACTCCTGTGAATATGGTCTTAAGCTGTCGTGATGCTGTGGCCCTTAACTGGTCACATGTTGTTACGATGAGCTGTTGTTGGCCTGCACTCACTGGCAATACCAGAAAGAGACCTTCTGAGCTGGCATCAAAGCCTGATTGATTCCCAGGTCCATAAAACCTAAGACCTCAGATCCCGAGATGGTTGGTTTCATGTGATTCCTTCCAGTAAGTGAATTCCCAAGAGCTGAATACGTGCTGATTTTGCTCTCATACGTTAATGAACCCTCCTCCAGAACCACCGTTCCAGTCTCCTCTCCCACAGAGGTCCCTGCTCCTCTTGCCCCACCACCCTGGGTGGTCTGGCGCCTACTGAGGCAGCACCCTTGAACACGGGGGCAGGGGGAGGTTGCCGGGGTCGGTGAGGGTGTCCCACGGGTGCGGTGCCCGCTGAGCTGCCTCCCCGTGCTTAGACATGGACAAGGAAGATGCACTGATCTGCTTCGAGGAGCATATCCGAGCTTTGGAGAGGGAGGAGGAGGAGGAGCGGGAGCGGGCCCGCCTGCGGGAGCGGCGTCAGCAACGCAAGAACCGGGAGGCCTTCCAGGTATGTGTGCTGCCCACTGGATAGGCGCTCAGCTCTGGCACGGCCCGTAACTGCCCATGCCCTGCCTCCTGGGCTAGGCCTGCTGTTGCGTCTCTGCCCGGTCCTGTGTGCCCCCTCCGCAAGGCCGCTCTCTCTGCTCCTGCTGTGTGCCCTCAACCTGGGGCCGTGCTCCTCTAGGGAGACTAGATGTATGCACCACGCAGAAACTGCCAGCAGAGAGCACCGTAAAGGCGCCGCCTGCAGCTCGGCCTGGTTCATTTCCCTTTGGTGGGCAGCCAGATGGGCAGCGCTAGCTTGTCCCACAGCTTGGAGGCGGCAGCGGTGGTGGTAGTGGTGGGGGCTCCCCAGCTCTAACACTTCGGGAAGCTGAGAGCAAACCACGGGCAGGACATGCTGCAGACAAGTTTCTGTTTTCCTGCCTTCCAGCCCGGCTGCCCGTCATGTTTGAGTGTGTCCCTCTCTGTGTTTACATTCTCTCCGTCTTCACTGCTCTCTGCCTCCCCATCTGTAGCTCCTCATCTCTGCCTCCTTTGCCTGCATTTCCTCAGTCTGGATTGTCCTGGCCTCTCCCTCCCATCCCCTCTCTTCCTCCCCAGTCTCTGGCTCTGCCTCTCTCTCTGGCTCACTCTCCCTATAACTGGCCTCTCCCTGCTCAGACCTTCCTGGACGAGCTGCACGAGACAGGGCAGCTGCACTCTATGTCCACCTGGATGGAGCTGTACCCAGCAGTCAGCACTGATGTCCGCTTTGCCAACATGCTGGGCCAGCCGGGTAAGGCAGCCAGGCTCCCCCTTTTCTGGCCTGGCTTCCTGCCCTGCCAGCCTCTCTGCACCCCCCACTCCCTCGTCCTGTCCTCGACCCCTCCCCCAGGCCTCGGGAAGCTGCCGCCCGCCAGGCCCCCCTCCCTCCCTCCCCCCGCAGGCTCCACCCCTCTGGACTTGTTCAAGTTCTATGTGGAGGAGTTGAAGGCACGATTCCATGATGAGAAGAAGATCATTAAGGACATCCTTAAGGTGAGGGAGGCCCAGGGTTGTGGATGGGTGCAGGGCACCTCTCTGGACAGGACTCCCTGATAAGTCCTGTATTGCAGGAGCAGCCTAGCTCCGTTCAGCAGACATCTACTGTGATCCCTGACTGTGCGCTGGGGACACAGAAATAAGAAAGATGCAGTTTCTGTCCATAAGGAGCTCATGGCCTAGTAGGAAGATAAACACGACACCTATTCTACAGAGGGGCAAGTGCTGTTAGAGACGAGAATCGACAGAATTGATATTTGCGCTACGCCTTTAAGAACGAGTAGGTGGATGAGGCTGGCGGTCCTGGGCAGAGGGTGTCAGAGGATCGGAGGCAAGGGAGTGGGAAGGGCCTGGCAGGCTTGAGGAGCAAGGGGCCCAGCTCATCAGAAGCCGGCAGCTCACAGATCTGTTCCTTCTGGCCTGTACAGTGTTTTAGAAACATTTCACCTTGGCTGCTAACATTTTAAAATTGGGAGATTACACAGAAAAACTTCTCTTAAAAATACAGATTATCTAGCAGCACTGGGCTGGTTTTGCAAGGCGTTCAGTGGCCTCAGACTGAGAGGCCACTGCTTTTTAGAAGGGGCATGCCATCCTTAACCTCCTGCTGCCGCCACCCCTCTGGCGTGGCAGCCATGCTGCGCACGCACCTTGCTTGTCTTACACTGGAGAGACTGTGTCCATCAAAGGTGGAAAAGGGATCGCTGCCCTAAGAGAGCCCTGTGTTTCAGAAGGAGGAAACAAAGAGGAAGCATATTTCTTGCTGGAAGTGAAGGACATGCAAAGGCGCTGGGGAGGTGGTACGTCCAGCAGTTAGGAGCAGCACTGTGGAGGCGGACTGCTTGGGCCACAAGTCCAGCTTACCGCTTACTAGTTGTGTGACCTCCAGCAGACTGTTTAACCTTTCTGAGCCTCAGTTTCCTCATCTGAAAAATGGGGGATTTTCCACCAATGTACACCTAATCACCAAGGGCAGTGACTTGGGACCTAGGGCGAGAAGGGTCTGAGAATAAATTAGGAATGTCCCACTGCGCACACAGCGTTTCTTTGAAGTCCTGTGTTTTGCTTTACAGATTCAGGTGTTGTTAACTTCATACCGTATTACTTCTCTGTTTAATATAAACGTAATGTTTTAAAAGTCCTTACCATTAGGTAAGATATGCCCTATTGTCCTGTGGCTTCCTGTTTTTCTGGAACCCGAAGCTCCAGTTGGGAAGGAGAGCCCTGGGTGTAAAATGCCTTGAATGCTAAAATAAGAAATTTGGGTTTTTATCTTGTAAGTAATGGGGAGCCAGGGAATGATGTGGTCAGAGGATGTCTTGGAAGAGCCACGGGGTAAGAGTATAGAGTAGCACTTCCTAGACTGAGTGCTTGTGTCCTTAGGGATATGTGCTGGGAAGACAGTATTTGAAGCCTCGGGACAATGAAAAGTCACAGTGGCAAGTGATTCCAACAGATCTGGAGCTTGAGCCATCCTCTTCTGACTCACGCTCAGGCTCCCCCCTGCTGTAGGGCCCTTTGGTAGGAAAGTCGGAGCAGTGCAGGACTCTGGAGTACGGGTTAGAGGTACGGGAGGTGAAAAGGGAGGCCAGTCGGGAGGTAGTCTAGGTGGGAAACGAGCTCAACAGAGGCAGCAGGGATAGCAGATGAGGGAGAGTTGGGCTCCAGCTCTGTTTTTCTGAGACCCCCACCCCCACCCCTGGGTTTCCTCAGGGGTGCCTTGGGACAAGAAAGGGGGGGAAGTTTATGCTTCTTCCTCCGTTTTTAAGTACAGCAGTTTTTCTTTTGAGGTTCGAAATAAGATTTTTGTGAGAAAAAAAAATGTTTCTGCTGTTCAAAAAAGAGAAGTTTAAAACCAGGAGGATGGAGTCACTCAGAAGTTGAGTGGACAGATTTTTTGCATGTGAAATGGAGGGCAAGGAAGGAGTGAGTTGAAATTGGCAGAGGTGGGGCGGTGGTATCATTATTGAGGATTCGGTAGGAACAGGGCTGGAGAAAATAGGAATTCCATTTGGGGAATCAGTCTCAAAAGTAACCTGGGGCAGGGAGGAATAAAGCAAAAACCACATTTTAAATAGGGTATTCTTGTAAAGTATAAATATCTAAATCTAGGAGAGCTACATTTTATTGGATGCTTACATTTTAGCCACAGTGTGTGGCTGGTCCTGCTGACAGGCCTGTAGGAGTCCCGTCCTCGCTGTGTCCTGTCTCTCCACATCTCCTGCGGAATGTGGAGAGACCTCTTTAGACAGCTCCCTCACCTCTTCCCCCTTTTGGGCTCCTGCCTACAGAAGCCTGATGAGCCCAGGAGTCCCTGTGGCCATCCACTAGCCTGGCAGACTGTGAGGGCACCTCTCACCCCATAGGATAACGCAAACAGCTTTGGACTTGGAAGAGCTGGAAGCCAGAAGATCTGGGCCTGGGAGATCCATGGGTGTGGGGAGAGGGGTGGCTCACAGGGAATGAATTCTCTTGGGGTCTGCTGAATTTGAAGTCTCTGTGAAACATCCAGTCTCTTAGGGGTCTGAAAATCAGGAGTGAGGTGTAGGGGCTGAGGTTGCTAGGGACAGTGTAGATTGAAAAGCCCAAGCGCTGTTCTCGGGGACAAGCACAGGCCAGAGAGGCACTAAAAGAGCTCAGAGAGACAGGAGGGCAGTTGTTGACAGGAGCAGCACAAATACAAGGACCCGTCAAGTGAGGACTGAGCAGGGGCCCTTGGAGTTGTTTCTGAGGACATGAGCACTTTTCGGAAAATAGTGTCTGTAAAGAGCGTCGAGTAGGTACAGCTCAGACCTTGGAGTCAGGTAACAGCTGGCTGTATAGTGGTTGAGACCTCTGCAAGGCATATAAAGGCTGAGCCTCAGTTTCCTCTTCTGTAGAATAGGCATAATTTATGTGCATGGTTGTGGGAAGGGCTGATATTTGCAAAGTGCCTGGCTTGTAGTAGGCTCACTAAATGTTGATTCGTTTTCCTCTGTGCTGCATTTGAAGATTTTGAACCAGAGGGAAAACAGCACAGGTTATTAGCTTGAGGAAGGTGAGAGCAGGGTGGACAGGATGTTCCCGGTGAGGTGAGGTCTGAGCTTGATGGAAGCAACCAGTGGAGAGGTGGCATTGAAGCTTTCACTTCGCTGAGAGAGATTGGGATGTTTGAGAAGGCCTGGGGCGTGGGTTGAGGAAGTGTCTTGGAATAGACAAGAAGAGCACATTCTCCATATTGCCCACGTGAAAACGAATACAACGCTGTATATTAACTAACCGGAATTACAATAAGAACTTTAAAAAAAAACAACAAAAAACACGCTCTGCCATGGGCAGAAGGCCGCAGCAAGTTCGTGCTGTGTGGAGGGAGGAGAAGGGGACTGGGCCTGTGTCCCCACGGACTCAAACTCCAGCAGCGCCACTTCTCACCAGATCCACTTGGCCCCAGTGAGAGAACTCTCCTAAGCCTCTGCTTTACTGAGGTGTTGGGAGGCGTAGATGAGCAGCTTGGAGCCTGGCTTCTCGATGAGAAGCTTCGGGGGTGGGGGCGTATTTTTAATAGTGTTCTGCAGTTACACACGTGATGGCCTCGAATTCCCCTGAGGACTGAGTGATCTGTGTGGGCTCTAGCACTTCACACCGTGGGCTTTGGTGTTAGAGGGACCTGGGGTAGCGGTCTCAGTCAACCGCATCTTAGCTGTGAGACCGTGGGCAAGTGCTCTAGCTTCTCTAGACCTTGGTTTCTCCTTCCACATACAATTAGGAGGCCAGGACCTATGCTTAAATTTTGATACTGAGGATTGAAAGAGATTAAGGTGTGTGCAGCACTCAGCACAGTACCTGGCAGCCTAGTAAGCACCCAAGAAGTAAGCCAAAGGATGGGACCAGCAGATGTTGACAGAATGCAAGGAAGTTACTGAGCAGCAGGAGGGCCCAAGTGGGGCCCAGCCTTAAGCCAGGAACAAAGAATTAGTTGTGAGAAACTCGGGCATCCATCAGCAGATCCGGCATACGCACACACACACCCTGCTCCCCCTCCCCATGGGACCCAGTGCCCCCCTCCGCTCCCTGCGACATCAAGACCAAGGGCAGGTGTGGGAGGCTTAGTCGTCAGATGGTGAGGTTTCAGAAGTGCACCTGAGTCCTGTGGGTCTCTTCTGGGGGCTGGGGGACTTCTAGAGCATCCTGTGGTCCGACCCTCTGCCTGCCCTGGAGGCCGGCTTCAGGCTTCGGGCCCGTGGTGGCCCCTGCTTCATGCGCCGCTGTGCCCACAGGACCGGGGCTTCTGCGTGGAGGTGAACACAGCCTTTGAGGACTTCGCCCACGTCATAAGCTTTGACAAGAGGGCGGCTGCGCTGGACGCAGGCAACATCAAGCTGACCTTCAATAGTGTGAGGGGCTGGGCGGGGCGGGGCTGTAGCCAGGGCTCCATTCTCGAGCTCATCCCCGTGTCCTGTTCCGTTCCTTCTCACTGCCCCAGTGTGACTGCACCCGCCCCCCCCGCCCCCGTTTAGGGGGTGGCGGCAGGAGCCCAGACCCCAGCTTCCCATGTCCTGCAGTATGCCCGAGTGGGGCCTGGGCACCCACCCTCCTGGGTGACCCTGCTCCGCCCCCTTTCTGTCCTCAGCTGCTGGAGAAGGCAGAGGCGCGGGAGCGAGAGCGGGAGAAGGAGGAGGCGCGAAGGATGCGGCGCAGGGAAGCTGCCTTCCGAAGCATGCTGAGGCAGGCCGTGCCTGCCCTGGAGCTGGGCACTGCCTGGGAAGAGGTCAGGGCTGCAGCCTGGCACCAAACACCACCCCCTCGGGCCTGAGGGCAGCGGTGCTTCTCCGGCACTGGGGGCCCACCCCGGTCAGAGCACAGCTCGCGGGCAGCTTCGGCTCCCTTCCTTCCTCTGCCCCAGCCCTGCGCTCCTGGCGGTGTCCACGCCTTGCCGGGGCTGGTCTGATCAGCAGTGCTCTCCCGTTCAAGGTCCGTGAGCGCTTTGTGTGCGACTCAGCCTTTGAGCAGATCACCCTGGAGTCGGAGCGGATCCGGCTCTTCCGGGAGTTCCTGCAGGTACTGGAGGTGAGGCAGAGCTTCCGATCCTCTGCATCTGTCCCGCGCTCATGAACGCCCAGTCCGGCTCAGCAGAGACCCCAGTGGCCTCCTACCCCTGGGGCTGTCCTTGCCCTGAGGTCTGACGGTGGCCGGGAGTGGCCTGAGGCCCTGGCTTGAGAGGAGGCAAAACCGGATTTTCGGGCGCAGGGTGCTTCCTGTGGCTAGCCCTGGTGCCTTCCTCACCCCTCCCTCTGCCTCTGCCAGACTGAATGCCAGCACCTCCACACCAAAGGCCGAAAACACGGCAGAAAGGGCAAGAAGCACCACCGAAAGCGTTCCCACTCGCCCTCAGTGAGTTGGTGGGCAGAAGGGCTGTGGGGGGCCGGGGCAGGGGGCTGGATTGTCTTGGGGAAATAGGAACCATTTTTCTTGTTTTTTCCCTGCATCGCCTCCCCTTGGAGCGAGATTTGAAAAGCCCTTTGGCCCTGGATCCTCCTCTCTGTCCCCAGTTCCCAGACTTGAGGGCTTCTGGAGCCCAGAGAACCTGTGCGCTGACATGTATCTGCTGATCTGCCCAGGGCTCTGAGTCGGAAGAAGAGGAGCTGCCCCCGCCGCCTCTCCGACCCCCCAAGCGGAGAAGGCGGAACCCCTCAGAGTCAGGCTCTGAGCCCTCTTCCTCCCTTGATTCGGTTGAAAGTGGGGGTGCTGCCCTTGGAGGACGGGGCTCCCCATCTTCTCGCCTTCTCCTTGGATCAGGTGAGTGGTTGGGAGTTGGAGCAGTTGACTCCCGACGAGAGGAGGCAGCGCCCTGAGGGTGGAGCTGCTCGGGAGGTCTGCACCCATCACAGTGGGAAGAACTTTCTGCCCGGCCGTGGCAGGAACTGGGAGAAGGAAGGAAAACTGCGCTGACAGAGACTTCCTCAGCTAGCTCCCTGTCTAAAGAACGAGGACTGTGGCAGAGAAAGGAATGAGCCCGCCCTCCTCCCATGGGACTTAACTGGGCATTTTCTATCTCCAGATCACGGCCTTCGGAAAGCCAAGAAACCAAAAAAGAAAACTAAGAAGAGAAGACACAAGTCGGTGCGTAGAGAGGGGGCTTCTACCCAGGGCCCTGCTATGTTGAGAGAGCCCTTCAGCCGCCTCCTGGGCTGTCCCTCACAGGCGGGCTCTGGGCTCTTACAGAACAGTCCTGAGAGCGAGACAGATCCTGAGGAGAAAGCCGGCAAGGAGAGTGATGAGAAAGAACCAGAACAGGACAAGGACAGGGAGCTCCGGCGGGCAGAACTCCCGAACCGCTCCCCAGGTTTTGGAATCAAGAAGGAGAAGGTGAGAGGCAGGCACCTGACCCCAGCGCAGTCGGCACCCTCCGCAGGCCTCCGTGGCCCTCGGGGGAAGCTGGGGCTGAGCTGTGCCTCCGCTCCACCAGACGGGCTGGGACACGTCGGAAAGTGAGCTGAGCGAGGGTGAGCTGGAAAGACGGCGGCGGACGCTCCTGCAGCAGCTGGATGACCACCAGTGACCCGACGAGCCGCTCTGCCTCGGGTCTGTGTGAGGCTGTGGATCCTAGGTCACCCTCACCATCTGCACTAGACTCCTTTCTCAGTTGGGTCCGTGTCCACTTTTCCTCAAGTAGCCCCGCCCCCAGCACCCCGCGGCTGCCACCTCCCCAGGTTGCTCGTGGTGTTCGAGGGTCCTCCACTCCCCAGGCAACTAGTGCAGTCCTTGCCCTCAGCCCCAGACCAGAGACCAGGATGCCACGTGGAGCGGGAGGTGCCAGTAGAGAAAATGTGAGAAGGGGCCTCTAGGGAGAATGACAGGTTGGGGACAGGCGGGGTCGTTCCCCTCTAGAACCAGTGCCTGCTCCAGCCTGCCTGGGCCCTCGGGCTCCACCACTCCTTCCTTCAGCCCCGGGACCCAGTGTATGTGTGTTTTGCTTTGTTTTGTTTTTGTTTTTTAAATAATATTTATAACATGGCCGGTGGCTCTGGTACCTTCTCCGTATCCTGCTGGGGCACGCCGGGGGCTGGGCAGGGGCACGCATGGCCAGCAGAGAGCACTACTGTCCCGTGGCAGGCCAGCCTCCCTTCGTGTGGTTGGAGCCCATCCAGCCCGGTTTGCCCTCCCCCAAGCAGACGGCAGCTCCATGTGGCCTCCTTTCCGTCCCCATGGTTCGGGTCAGGCTAAACGGCACCCTAGTCCTCCCCGAAACCCCGGAAAGAGGAGACAGAGTCAGGCCTGGTGCTTCAAGCCTTTGTTGGGAGAGGGAAGGTCTGGGATTTATGTACACGAGGGAAGGGAGGTGGTACATGTACAGAAAGTGGGTTCCTGTATTCCCCTGCAGGGGCTGAGGAGAAACTGGCAGGAGACTGGGCAAATAGTCAGCTAAGACCGCCATGCCCCCTGTCTCCTGCTAAAAAACCCCTAGCCGTGGAAAGGAGGTGAGGGTGCTTTCTCTAGCAATCCAGGGAGAACCTCTACCCCTCTGCCCACCCAACAACAGTCAGCCTAGAGTGGAAAGGGCCAAGGGCAGTAAGCGTGGCATCTCTCCTCTACCCTTATCACCAGGGCACAGCTGGGTGGGGACCAGGCTTAGGTGGGCCTTGCTCCTGGTAAAAGGCGATCTGAGACTGGTAGGGTTCTGGGGCTCCCTGAGTCTGGATACTTCCAGACCACAGCTGATCATGGGCCTGCGAAAAGGAAGGGAGAAAAAAATAGGGATAACTGCTTTCTCCGCTTGTCCCTCTGGCCTAGTGACAGAGGAGGCTATGGGCCCTTGTATAGGCTAAAGCTAGAAATGACTTTTCCCAGCTCTGAGCTGACCCTTGGTGACCTTCCAGTCAGGAAATGAAGTTGAAGGCCCTGGGGCCAAAGTGCAGTCCTGGAGGCACCAGGGAAGTGCCAGGCCCCAAAAGACCCAGTGCCCCCAGTGGCGCCAGGCACGTATAGCTTTGAGACTCGGGTGGACACTGGGTCAAGAGCAGCATAGCCCTGCCTGCGCCCTCGGCCAGTTCCAGGGCTCCAGGTGCACAGGTTGGAGAGTTGAAGTGCTTCTGCCTTCGGGGGGGTCTTAGTGGGGGCCTGGAGCCCGAGGGGGGCTGTTGGGCGGTGCGGCACTCCTGGCTTGGTGGCGAATGACAACGGGCTGGCGATGGAGGCCTGTGGGGAAGACAGAGGCCTGTGAACACGCAAGGAGGCGAGGCTGGGCCGCCGTCTGTCGGAACAGCCCCTGAGGAGCAGCCCCACGGGCAGGGCCAAAGAAGAGCCAGTCGTGCGGCCGAGGAAGGAGAAGCTTTAAAAGAGGCTAGAGGGGATGGTCAGGGAGACTGCTGGGGCTCTGCATTTCCAGAGGACCAGGTGGGGATGACGAGAGGCCACTGGGCAGTGGCAGAGACAAAGTAGACTCAGCAATAGCCAGAAGCTGGGGAGAGATCCCAGGTAGACTGAAAATCAGGAAACCGGTCAAGGGACATCTGATGTGCCTGGGCAGAAGCTACTGCCAGAGCTCTTTAAGGGGGGGGGGGGGGTGTGAGGGGACAAGTCACAAAGGATACCTGGGCCCAGGAACGGAGCCTCAGCCTCAGCAATGAGAGTTGGTGGCCGGGTCCTGCCTGCTCTGGAAACTCCCTACCCCTGGGTCTTAGTAGAAGCCAGGACAGCATTAGTGGGAGATACCACTTCCCTGGAGGCACATGCAAGGGGCTAAGGCGTGCTTCTCTGAGCACGGGGCATGCAAGTGGAGAAGTATGCGCCCCTATCACTGTGAGGCTGCCAGAGGATGGTTCCAAGTCATGCAGGGGAGGAGGTGCCTGCGGGCCCAGCAGGAGTCCTGGGAGGTGGGCATGCAGAGGGGCAGCTGTGGTGCCCAGTACCTGTCAAGAGCCCCGGCCTTGGGGGTTAACAGTTTGACTCATCATGGTGGGCTGCATCGCAGAAGAAGCGGGAGCCCCGCTTGGCAGTACGGGCCGTGAAAGGGACACTCTTCAACACTGTGGCCCAGGAAAGAGACACAGTGGTCAGGCCTCGTGGGGATGCGCTGCGAGGAGGGCCCAAAGGCGCAGGGTTGGAGTTCGGGAGCTGGGCCTAGCGGCCAGGCCCAAAGGAGGGACAAGGACCCCACCTGTAATGATGTCCTCAATGGTACCATCCTTCCCTTCGTAAACAGGCCGATGCTCCTTGGCCTGGCGCCTCCTCAACTCTGCAATTAGCTCCTGCTGTTGCCACTTGTTCCGCTGAGATGGGGTCTAGGGCCGAGCATTGGAGGGGAAGGGAGTCATCACTAGCCTACCATGGGGCTGGTTCCTGCCCGAAGATGCAGTCTGAGGACGCCCTTAATTGTACATAGCAGCCCACCCCTGATCATTGCCTAGGAATCCCCTCCCAAAGCCCCTCTCCCCATCCCTTTGGACTCCAGCCTCAGATCCTCTGGGTGGTCTCTGGGCTCCAGTTTCCCGTCTCTCGAGTTCTCTCTCCACCCCTTCATCCTCTCCTCCAGGCCCCAGCTCTTGGTCCCACCCACCTTGGCATCCAGTTTCTTGGCTTCCTGAGCCAGCTGCTTCTCCCGCATTACCTCCTCCTGCTTCTTTCTAGCTTCGTTCTCTTGTTCTGCTTCCTAAGAACCATGGGGGGGGTTGTGGGGCAGTGAGGCTCACACGGGCTGTGAGGGGAGGGGCTGACACCGAGGGTGGAGAATGGGTGGTAGTGGGACCAGCAACCCCAGGTGGCCACCCTCTGGAGGGGCACTTCCTGCCCTGAACAATGACAGGAAGGGCCTGGGCCCCCACCCTGCCCACCAGTTCACAGCTGAGAGGCCTGTGGCCAGCTTCCATTGCTCCCTCCCAGGCCTCCGAGGAGGAGACAGAAAAGGCCCAGACTTGGAGCCCAGCCCTCCCTCTCCCTCCCAGTTTTCTCTCAGCCAGACTCCTTTTTCAAAAGCCTCTCTTCCGCTCACCTTGTAAGAACGAATGAATCGGACAAATACTGGGAAGAATACAGACGGGGGTGTGGTCTTGGGACTCTCGCCGAAGTAGCGCACGACTGCATTATAGGCCTCCTGGGGAAGGGGTGGACAGAAGGGCTCGGTCTGGCAGAGAAGCACAAGCCTGGCTCTCCAGCAGGGCTTGGGGCCAAAGGAGGAAAACCAGCAGCCCCCAGCCCCTGTGGGGTGCAAAAGAACCTGGGGCTCCCAACGCTCCTTAGGGTATGTCCCCAGGGGTGGCTGCTGGCCACCCCCAAAGCCCCCTCTCCCCCACATACAGCCAGCCAACCACGCGGTAAAGGTTCTTCGGTCCAGGGGTGCCTGGGTGGCACAGTCAGTTAAGCTCTGATCATGATGTCAGGGTCGTGATCTCAGGGTCTACTTCAGTCTCTCTCTCCCCCTCTCCCTCTGCCCCTCCTCCCTGCATGTGCTTGCTCTCTCTCTCTCTCTCTCTAAATCTGAAAGTCCTCTGGCCCAAGAACCAGAACAAAGCCCATCTAACGGGACACAGCGCCTTGGCCCTGGCCGGCCCCGGCTGCCGGCACCCTTGGCCACCTCAGCCGTCCTGGCGTCGCGCTGCAGCTTGTCCAGCCCGCCTTCGCTGGTGCTGAGGAAGTTCCGCAGGACGCTGTTGTCGTGTATGCTGCATTCCCGCCGAATCAGCTCCATGCCCCGGCCCAGCTCCTTCACGTCTAGCAGCACGTTCTCCAGGGACACTGTGGTCACCAGAGCCTGGGCTGAGGCCTGCTCAGTGGCCGACATGCCCCCCTCCCGGTCCGGGGCCACACAGAACTTGGCCCTCCCCGTCCACAGGGGCTCCCTCGGGTTCTCGTGCCCCCGCTTCCTGAGCCGTCGGTGGAGACAGAGAAGGACACACGCAGCCAACGGGGCCCTCGCAGAGGTAAGGAACAGGAAAGGGGGCTGTGAGCTCATGACCCCAAAGTACGAGGCGGCCCAGGAAGGCAAACCAGAGAGACTGCTGGGATCCAAATGGAGCCGCCTCAGGCCTGGGGCAGAAATGTCAGCTGCCTTATGTCTGTGGGGGCTTCATGGTTTTCCGAGGCCCTTCACGGGCATCACAGAGACGCAGTCTCCAGGGCCACCCAGGGAGTTGGGAGTGAAGAGCCACTGGTGCTCACTGCCGGCTTCCACGGCGCCCCGGCGGGAAGGACTGGGCCAGGCGGGCGCCTGCAGGAAGGCTCCCCCTGGGGGAGCCCCTACCATGGCCCCAGCGGAAAGCTTTGCAGTGGCCAGAAAGGAGATGACAAAAGCCAGAAACCAGGGGACCCAAGTGTTCCCTCTCCCAAGCTTCCTGGGACTGTCCCGGGCTACACATGAGGGCAGGCTCGCCGGGCCACGCTCCCTCACCTGCCGCGGCCTTCTCCACGAAGTGTAGCTCATGCCAGAAGTTGGCCAGGTCTGGGTATTTCTCCTTCACCGTCAAGGCAATGAAATGCAGCAGGGTCATCTTCCTGTCGGTGGACTTGGTGTCCAGCAGCTGGAGGGGGGGGCACGGGGTGGTGAGAGAGGGCCAAACGCCATGGCTCCTCGGGCTTCCCGGCCCCAGGTCGCCCCCACCGTCTTACCAGATCCAGGCTCTGGAGCTTGAAGCCATACACAGCTCCTCGCTTGCTGCTGTTCATATAGTTCCCCAGTGCAAGGATGATCTGTCCAAAAGATGCACGGGAGGAGGTCAGGCCAGGCCCCGCGGGCTCCTTCCTCCACCCGGGCCCAGGCCCACGGGCGCGGGCCTCCGCAACCTCTCCCCACCTCCAACATCTGCTTCAGCTTCTGTGAGGACTTGACAGAGGCAGACGCTGCAATGATGGCGTTGAGTTGCTGGAAGGCAAGAGGAAGAGCTGCGTCAGCCCAGGCCGGGATGGGGAGAAGTTGGCCCGACGGGGCCGGCAGAGGCGGGGAGCAGCAGGTGGGGGACGGGCGGGGGCTGTACCGGCGTGAGCATCTGCAGGTTGTCCTGGAAGTTGCCCAGGAAGGCCATG